CCGCCCCCCCCCCCCCCCCCTCCCCTTGCTAGTTGTGCCTTCCTCCCAAAATGGAGGAGAGAGCTAGGGGATCCAACCAACTAATCAATAATGAGAATAGTTGAATCGATTGGTTGCAGCCCTAGATATCTATATTTCTCTAATACACATACAGCCCTAAGGACAAACACATGATGGGACAGCACAATAGAAGCTTCCTAAATTATACACGACAGCTACAACCAGTAGATAACACAAATAATCTGATCCAGGGCTAGTTTAGTTGAGCAATGTGCTGTTGCACTAAACATGCACTAAGCAAAGTCTTCAGACCTCAGTAAAGTTTAGTGTCGTGTTGATGAGCTTTCTTTTGTTGAATTACTCCACGTTCGAGGTGTTTTGCTGGGGGATGTGTTGGATGAGTATATTGGATTTAGACCGTTTAACCTGCTTTCAGAGTTCTACAAAGTACTAGAAAGAACCTGAAACACAGTGCCTCCCATTAGCGTGTAGAGCTGCAACAACTAATAGATTAAAATCGAGACTAGTTGGCAACTATTCCTGTCATCGATTAGTTGATTTTTGATTAGTTGCTGGCAGCAGAGGTACGAGGGGGGAGCAGCGGGGGATTTCAAAGTCACCGGCCGCAGTTTCTTCTCCCTGCTGGTGCTGGCTGAAGCGGTCTGTGTCCCTTTCACAGACCGCTGTAGCTTGCATGAGAGACTGCGGCCGGCGATTCTGAAATCCCCCCCACCCTTGTACCTCTGCTTCTCCTCCGTCCTTCTGTACGTCCGTTAAGGCTGTTCACAGTGTTAGATGTTTTTCGCACTTAATCAAAGAAGGGAAGGTCCGTTCTGGGTATAGGCAAGATTTACGGCTTCTCTCCTCCCCTCCCCGTGAACACACAGAACGGACCTTCCCTTCTTTGATTGAGAGCAAAAACTTCTGGGTACGTCTGGTGAGTGCATTATTAAACAAATAAGGAGCACGGACAGCTGACACTGAGATCTGTAACCAAAAAGGAAACAGTTTAATCAAGTGGAAAATGAGTGGACACTTGTTTAACAACAGCCAGCCTTCTGTTGGATATTTTAAATTGCAATAGCCAATAGCAGGCTGGCTATTGCCCCTGCCGACTGCCTGCTGTATTTACATTCAGCTGCCTCAACAGCAGAATACAATGAAGTGAAAAGGTGACACTAGCGGTCTAAAGAGAAGCCCTATTGCCACCTTCAATGTGCCATCACATAGGGGACTTGAGCCCCCCCCCCCATGTGATAGCAATGAGGGAAAAATGTAAAAATAAAAAATCCCCCCCTACATGTCAGGTATCGCAGCGTATTTTATTTTAAATTATTTTTTAAAAATCCAATTAAATCGAAGTTATTAGCTAATCGATAATGAAGGTAATCGTTAGCTGCAGCCATATTAGCGTGTACACTAAAATCGTGCTTCAGGACTCCCAAACCGTTTTCCTAAACTGTGGACAAAAGCACTTCAAGTGCATGTTCTGCATTTGAGAAGCAGAAGCTTTTAGCCGTGTTCACAATTATCCACATAGACTTTTTTTATGGAATTCCCCCACTCTCTTTCAGGTGACAACGGTCATCAAGAAAAATAGGGAGACACAAGCAGCAATAAAATCATGAGCGGGGTTTTAACACTTCGCTTTAGATCAACTTAAAGGGTAATTCCACGTTCACAGGTAAAATTTGGGAAAATGGAAATACCCCGTCCAATCTGGCCCCTCCCCCACTATACTTACCTTTCGGCGGTTGCTCCTTTCCCTCCACCAGTGCTAGTGTACTCTCCATACCCCGTACTGCCGTGTAGCGCCGCCCTGCACTCTGTATTTTGAATTTAACCCCTTCATGACTGAGGCCCTTTTTTAATTTTTTGCACCCATGTTATATTCCACATTTTAGGCCTGAAAATGACGTAAAACCCCCCCAAACTCTGGCCCCCCACTGGCCATGGTTTTCAGTGTCTGTGCCGTGGTTTTCAGGGTCGCCTGCTCTCCTGGGGGACCCCGAACCACGGCAAATGCCTTCAGAATGAAAACCAACCCAACCATCTGCATGCAAATAAACGCACGCATAGGGCATTGTGTGTGCGCACGCTGATTGCTGCCCCCACTCTAATGTGGGCCATATTGTGGTAGCCGGGCCGCTTTTTTTAAACACACACAATCAGCATTAAAGGGTAAATTCACTTTCCCAAGTGATTTGGGAAAATGGAATTACCCGCTTAAATACCACCCCCATCTCCCCCACCCCATACTTACTTTTCAGTTACTAGTCCTTCTCCTCCACTGGTGCGGGTGTACTATCAGTACCCCATACTGTCATCCAGCGCAGCCCTGTGCCATGTATTTTGAATTACGCCCACAAATTGCGAGCACTTGTCGGTCAGCAAGGTCACTTGACTGCGCTGACCAATAAAAAAAAAAAAGCACTTAACACAGTTAAATACAGTTTTGGTTGTTTTTTTGTATAAGGACAAGTAGATTGGGCCCCCTCTTTAGTGCTTGGACAAGCAGTTTTTTTTTTTTTTGTCCACACCCCTGTAGAAAATATCCCCCACCTATTGTTCTTGTGGCATCTGAAAGAGTTTGGATTTCCCTTCACTTTCTATCCCTTAACAATGGTCACCAGGACAATTAGGAGGGAGAAAATAAATAGCAAAATCCTATAGGGAGTTCCAACTCTTCCCCACTTAATCCAAAACTAAAAAAGTTTGGGCTATACAGACACTTGAAGTGAACCGCTCTAGATGGCAACAACAAAGGATTAGCTTGGCACTAGTAAGCCTTGTTTTCTGGACTGGACACTAAATTCCTTGCACAAAATTGCCTGACTTGAAGTATCTCAGGGGAAAGTATATAAACACATCGTAGTTAATATTTGGCGACCATTTACAAATCACCAGGACACAAGAATATTTCTAGTGGGACAGTGCGGAACACTCTCCACAAGGAAAGGACATGAATATTAGCCTGGCAACCTTCTGTAACTACAGAAGACAAGCACATTTTTAAAGAATATTCTATACCCATATAATCCAAGCTTCAACACAGATTAATACCACCTTACATTAAAATAGATTCCACCAGCAAAGTGCCCTTTGTCTCCCAAAATGCTTTTCAGACCGCAGATAAAGTGGCTGTAGACCTCGTATGTTTTTGCCTTCCCTATGATGTCTAAGGGGCAGGGAGAGCAGGAGCACTGAGCAGTTATATACCATGTGCAATCACTCTGCTGTGAGGTTAGCAGGAATTGGAATCAAACCTTTGACACGGACATAAAAGTGAAATCATGCATTCTGCTGGAGGTCCAAATACACAACACTGGGAAAAACACTGCAAACGTGCCGAATGCCCAAGACACTAACTTTTACAGAAGAACCAAACTTATAAAAGAATTGTAGCTAAAAGCTCCAACTTTATTTTTTATGTTTTAGTTCTGGGAAGTTATTTTATAAGAACTTCATCATCATCATTTACATACACATCAGTAGATGTGTGTTACAATAAACAAAAGCGAAATGTATAGAACACAAAAAGTGATCCATAACATGATAGTATCTGAAGAAAGGTTTAATAATCAGATGTTTACTTCCTTCTTAGGGTTAGTTCACACCATAAGCAGTGCGTTCCAGGCCGAAATAGTGCTTGCAGCATTTTGATTGCACCGGACTGCAGGCACAATGTGCCTTGCGATCCCTTGCGGGCGATCGCATTGCGGCTGGGGGGCGTGGCTACGGTGCCATTCACTTCAATGGTCCGCCACGCCCCCTCCAGCCTGGCAAAAATGTGAGCCGGCCGTAATGCGAGGCAGTGCCTATCCGGCCAGAATCAGACAGGAACGCACTGCTTATGGTGTGAACTAACCCTCAGCTGGTCCTGTTCTCCCATAACACTTATACAGGACCGATCCACCATACTGTATGTTTTGGCTATTTGTTTCAGGAAAGTACAAAACACAAAACTGTATTTACACTCAAGAAACCAGTGCATCATGTGTGTCAAAGCTGCATGTTGTCACGTTTAAGCAACTTTTCACCCTGGAAATAGTCAAGGGGCAACCATGTATTGCACCTCAGTTGCATGTACCTCTTATGCTTGAGCCATGGTGCATCAACAAGGATTCCAACAAAGAACAAACTGTACCCAGTCAGCCAGGGGTGGGCAAACTCCAGTCCTTCAGCTGCAGTAGAACTACAAATCCCATAAGGCATTGCAAGACTGACAGCCACAACTCCCAGAGGCAGATGCATGCTGGGATTTGTAGTTTCACCATAGATGGAGGGATGGAGTTTGCCTACCCCTGCATCATAAAACACGCAAACCTTATCAAGTATTTGTAATGCACAGAAAACATTGCATTGTCTAGTTAGCTGCCATATCATGTACATATAACATACAATCCCAAGACAACAGGATGCCTCGAACAAAGTAGTGAGCCTCATCTTAAAGGAAACCAATAATCAGAGAAAATGGAAGCTTGGTGAAACTGGTGAGTTTACTTAGTTACCTTGAAGTCAAACTGACCCTTCTGTAATACTTTGATCCAGCACAGATCAAGTATGCAGATAAAGACTTCTGACATCCATCCTTTGGGTTGAGGTAAAGTGTCGAGGACTAGCTATATTATTAAGATGCATGTACAGTCCATTTTTTTCCTTTCGGTTAGCTCTTTTGAGTAGCACAGGGCAGGGCAAGAACCTCAATCAGTTTTTTTTTTATTGCTGTCTTCGTCAGCACTGGGGAGATTCACCATTTATATTTGTCCTGGTCATCACCATCCCCGGGAAAGAAAGTGATGAGACAAACATTTTACCACTGTCACCAGAACAGAGTGTGGAGGAAAAATCTCAAAAAATGGGGGCACCTGTCCAAGGACAACCAATAGGGGAATTTCCCTTTACTTCATAAAAATTTCCTCTCGCTCCAGGACAGGAAGTGAAAAGAAGTCTCACAAATGATGCACAGATAGGAGATAAAAGGGGTTTTCACCCTTCTCTACTCTATCCACATCTTAAAAGATATGGCTATACATACCCTTTACTATTCATTTTTACAGGACTACCACATGACTTACCAAGGGATGCAAGCATATCATGTAAATCCTCCTTATCAATAAAACCATCCCGGTTCTGATCGATCATGTTGAAGGCCTCCTTAAACTCCTGGATCTGGGACTGGTCAAACATAGCAAATACATTGGATGTTGCGCGCTGTGGGCGCTTCTTGGTGGTTTTGGTCTTTGCTCTTTTGCTCGACATGTTGGCGGCGGTGTTGGTCTAGCTGAAATAAATAAAAACGAAGCAAACATGTGAACAACTTTGGGCTTAAACTTCTAATGTGCAATAATGCTGTTTAACAGCAATTTAGGCCAACACTAAAGACCTTATAGACTGGATTTAGATGTCACAGACGGACCATGATGTGCTCCATAAGATCCGGCTTTTTACTCTGAAAACAAAATCATTTGAGGAATATTTTGTGTTCATATGAGTACTTTGCTTCTGCAATCCTGGTGAGACAATTGTGACTGTTTTACAAAGGATTGAGACAGATTTGTTAAGTGTGGTAGTGTTGGACCGATGGAGTCAGAAAATAACATACAAACATACACATACATATATTATATATAACGCCCCTTTAAGGAGCTTAGTCTGTGGTGAAAGTGGATTGTATGGGGACCTGGTTGTGGTCCTAGGTTGCTGTCTCTCTGATCACAAGACGGTCTAATCTTGTGTGAGGTTTGGCGCATCTGGTACAAACGCTAATCCAGCTTGATGATCCGTTTAAAATCCTTACTGATTAGGAGCATTAAGTACAGCCAACATGTTTCAGAGGAAAGGCCTACACCTTCTTCAGTGCTTAAAGGAGAACTATGAGGTGAGTGCTTTTCACTCACCTCATACGGTAGTTCTAGCCGACCTGTGACAATGTCTGTCACAGGTCGGCTCAGTAGATCGGGAAGTGAGCGAACACATACCTGCATTCGCTCACTTCTCGATCCGGTCACGGCTCTCTGCCGTGACAGGGGAGGGGCTGGATTACCCCCTCACCGCTCCGATCCTCCAGCGCTGACTGGCGGAACGGACGGGGGAGGGGGCAGGTACAGCTGGCTCTGCCTCTAGATAGGCAGAGCCAGCTGTCACAAACGCAGCTGGGCGGATACAGACAGAATTGTCGGGATCCACTTCAGCGTCTCCGTATACCGCGAGCTGCAGCTCGCGGTATACTGAGCTTAGGGTGACGGGAGGACGCTAGTTTGTGCCCTCCCGTTACCCTGAGAACTATGGGGAAAAGCCCTTACCCCATAGTTCTCCTTTAAGATTATTGGCTCATAATTATTTCCATTCAAAACCCTGGTTTATGCTCAATTGGGCTAAAATATATACATATCCTTGAGAAAGTGATTGTTGCCAACTGGACCCTGACAGGTCTGTGGCAGTTTCACAAAGGTCTGACATATAGTTTAACTTTAAAAACACATGCAAAAATAAGTTCCTATGAACTGGCTTTATATTGGGTCAGAACCAATATTGAACAGCAGTGGAGTCAGTTATAAATCAAATTGAAAACTCATATTAAAAAGGAGAACTATGAGACGAGTGATTTCCACTCACCTCATAGTTCTAAGCCGACCTGTGACAATGAGACTGTCACAGGTCGGCTCAGTAGATCGGGAGGTGAGGGAACACATACCGGGTTCCCTCACCTCTCCATCCTGTCACGGCTTGCTGCCGGGACAGGGGGAGGGGCTGGATTCCCCTCTCCGATCTGCCAGCGCTGACTGGCGGAACGGACGGGGGAGGGGGCGGGTACAGCTGGCTCTGCATCTAGGTAGGCAGAGCCAGCTGTCACTCACGCAGCTGGGCGGATCCCGTCATCTACGTCGTGATCCGCTCCAGGTGCGGCGTCTTAGTATACCGCGAGCTGTAGCTCGCGGTATACTGAGCTTAGGGTAACGGGAGGACGCCAGTTTGTGTCCTCCCGTTACCCTAAGGAGAACTATGGGGAAAAACACTGACCCCATAGTTCTCCTTTAA